CAACTTTAAGAATTCTTTTCACAACTAACAAATTATTCAAGGTAGCAAATTTATTCGTTCTTTTATCAAGTATCCTCGTTATGTAGTCACTACAACATTAATATCAGTGCATACCCATAATCATGGTACAAATTAGTAGAACGTGATCCGCCATAATCACAAAAATAAGGCGACAACGAAAATTGAAATTGTTTCATACAAATCTTACTTTATAGTAAAATCGAATGCTCGAATTATATTTTATAATTACATATAATTACAAAATTATTGAACTATACAGAATTATCCTAATATAATTTGTAATTATAATTATATATAATTATATATTATAAAATATTCATCGAGTATGCAGGTCACTAAATAAAATTCAGTTAATTCAAATAATTTTTACCGTCATTTCATCTAACCTCTGCATTATACTTTTATTTCATTATACCTGCTTTTATTCTTTTTTTTCACGAGGAAATTCATCCCCTTTAGCTGTAACCTGATTTTGAATACACTCTGCCCTTACAATGATCAACGAATACGATACCTAAAGCAAATTTCACACCGGTCCAAGCCTGCCGAACGTAATTAATTAGCCTCCTGTAGAGTGGTCTCGGTGGCCTCTTCGGCACAGTGCCCTCTTCCTCGTCCCCCTGGATGTCGTTGTCCAGAGAACCCGGTGGTGGTCCCACTCCTGTGAGCGTGCCTACTTGGTTTCTTTCGCCAAGGATATTCACGACTTCTCGCAGTTCAGGCGCTACGCCCTGCAGTCCTGGAGCGTAATTCGCGGGGGCGACGCCTGAACCGAGTAGGTTCACGCCGCCCCCGCGACCTCTGCCATGGCTACGGTTACCACGGCTCCATGCGGTCCCGCTACCTTCACAATGTCGCGCCGAATTACGTTTAAACGGGAGAACATTTTTGACAATTTCAACTTATTAAGACGTATAATATGGAATATAAAATGAAACTGATTAGATAAATGATTAATTATATTTTTACTGGCTATAAGTAGACTGCGGATAGTCATGCGTATTCGTGTTTTTAAGAATGTATTTAGAGAAACAGAATTATGATAGAAAATGTTTCTTTTTTAAGGAATATTATAAGAAATAGATACTTTCGATATTGTATATATTCTTTTATATTGTGTGAATTCTATGTAATTTTATATTTCTTAATTTCTGACAAATGCATAAGAATTCGCAGTATAGGTATAAATCTTCGAAACAGGAACTCTTTTACTGAAAACGCGTTGGAGGAAATGAATACAAGAGAATGATTTATATTTTAATTAATAAAATGAGGTTAATTAAGGAACAATTTTTCTTTCTCGTTGAATAATCCGATGTTTCATGTTACACAAACCAGTGAAATGTATCGAAAGATTGGGAAAGTTGCGTTGGAATTGAAGTACACCGATTCAGACGTACGTAACATTTTGACTGTTCGTTGTGTGAGTGGTATAAGTATATTTCTTTTGTATCGATATTAAAGAATTTACCATTACTCGAAAAGTTATGACCGTTTTTCTAATGTTAGTTTGTACACCATTCTATGTATTTAAGATTTATAGATATAGTATTTTGTATTATATTATAAAAATAATTTATTTTGAGAATTATGTAACTAGGCCACCATCTTTTGTCAGACTTATGAAACGATTTGTTCCACTTTCAAAATAAATGGTTTTAATGGATATTAATTTATCATATATATTAATTACTCGCTACAGCTGTTTTTCTTATTCATAAGTAATATTTATTTTACTGCTCTTTGAGTTAAGTTTTCATTTTTGTTTCTTCATAATTTCTGAATACGCGTTAGATTCTTTTTTTTGTTATAATACTTTATTGGTTTCATTAATATTTCACTATACTTAGTGAGAGAGAGAGAGATATTGTACGTATGCATAGGAAGTAGAAAATGCTATTTCTGAAAAGTAACTACTGTAATTTACTTCAGTTTCGAATATTTAAGCAAATTGTAAGAATGTAACACTTATTATTCATTTTTTTAATTTCCTATTTAGGAAGACGGATGTACACTGTCGCATATTTACACGTAATCATACGAATAACTGAATAAAAAAGTTTTTCCATTTAAAGACAAGTTGAAACTATAAAATGAATGGTTTCGTATGAAATTTTGTTCGGAAGAATTACTGATTTTGCGAAGTCGTTCAGTTACACAGCTATTGATCCGAAACTCCAATTACATTTTATGGAGATGCACGACTACCATTATCTACTAGCTTACTAGCTTTACAACTAATTGTAAGTTATAGTAGGTATGTAATGACAGTGTTGAATATCGTTTGAACAAATTGTTGCTTATTATTCTATTTTAACTTCTTATTCGTAAATAATATTTATTGAGTCATAATTTTTTACTCGAAATAATTATGATTTTCGGTTCATTAAAAAAAGACATCTTATTAATTTTTTTCCATTAAAAAGTGCATATATGTAAAATATCTTATTTCATTTTATTAATTTCAATCTGGAAAAGATTTTTGTCAAGTTAATATGGTATGCAGGCTATTATAAAATTTCTGATAAGATGAGTTAAAAACATTGACATAAATAATTTAGGTTTGAATAAAATTCATAAAAGAATTGGAAGTTTGTTTATTTCTATTATTAAAAAATTTTGAAAAATGACTATATATTTTCTACCTATGAATACCATTTAATTGGTCATACGTTATTTGTAAATAATAAACGAAAAAGAAGTTGAATATTTTAGTATTTTTTATTTAAAGTAACTTTAATCCAATACTGCTACGTACACTACTTTTTTACATTTTTCTCTGCCTTTTCTTAAACGTTAGGCAGTGAGCTAAAATCAGATTACGATCCTTCATCGATAAAATGGTAATATGTTTAGAAACCTTTCAAAATATTAATAATTATTTCGTAATAATGAAAATTTTCCTTCAAAGTGTACCTTTGATAAAAACAATGTAGTTTAAATTGGTGCATTTGAATAAATATGCCTATAAAGATATATGAACTCATTAGTATGTGTGTATATTATTATTAATATTTACATTTAAGACATACAATTTCATAGAATTATCTTTCAAAAATATGAGTATTTAAAAATAATTATTAACCTTCAAAAATTGCATTCCTATTTGACGATTTTATTAATTTATTGTCAAACATAGAAAATTGAACAAAAAAAAATTGTTTTATGCTTTCAAAATTTTATGATTGTCAAGAGGATTATTTATCGAGTAATTTAAACTTCACTATAACAATTTTCAAAACACAATATAGGAAATGCACAAACAATCTCATTTTAGATATTTTTAAATATTTAACACGATCATTTGATAAATTCTATAATTTATGCTCTTATCGAATATAACTAAATTATCTGACTATTGTACTTGTTACTAGCTTTTATAATTCCAAGAATCTTATTTTCTTCAATCTGTTATAATTGACTTAAACTCGAAGAACAGTATTTATGTTTTATATCTTACTCACAGTAAGTGTCAAGTATTATTTCCATCCGAATGAATCTTGTTTCGAGATATGTATTGACAACTTCAATCAAAATCTTCCGACACAATTCTGCCAGCTAATATGCCCAACTGATCAGAGTGATTCGAGTTGAAATAGAAACGTATTTAAAATAACATTCGTGTTTCGACTAAATCGCAAAATGAGAAGCCGATTTGGCAGTGGTGCGTGGAAATAGCTGAAATTTCTCGTATATCGGAAACACAATAATCCTATTAGAATACTGTCAGCTCTATTTGTTATAAACAAATAAAATTTAACAAATACGTAATGACAAAAGTAATGAAGGATATTTCGAAATGAACGCAAAAGCATACACATTAAAGAAAGTTCTGTATCGCTACAATATCCAGTATGCTAAAAAGATTGTTTAACACATTCACACCGGCATGTACCGATGCTACACAGCTAATTTATAACATTAAAATAAATCAACGTTAATAAGTAAATTATTTACCAAATTATTTACTTTATTTTCCTTTAATCATTTATCTACAATCAGCAACTAAAGTGAGACAGCTATCGATGTAATAAAAGAATCAACGCCAAGATTATTTTTACATACATTGTTATTACTATGGTTTATGATGAAATATGTACAAACATGCCCCGACGTGAATGTGCTAAATAACTATATTTCCCCTTTTTCAAACGAAAAATTGGAACGTCGTGTGATTATTTCAGAAATCTAATTTTACTGCTTACAAATTTAAAGGAGAAAATCAGGAGTGACTTGAAACTGTTTTTAATGTGTCTACTTTGGACAGTTCGTGCAATGTATTTGTCAAATTTATACAAATAGAAACGATTTAATTATACACGGAATAATATTGTGCTTGACGCGGAATTGGAAGTTAATTAACTTGTAGATACATATACCATCTTAAACGTAGTTTAAGCTTTATATATTAATATTATTATGTAATTATTGACCGAAATGCACTCAGATAAAATGTCATTTTTCACAATGTTCATAATTCTTAAGTTACAATATAGTGAGTATTTCAATTTGATACCAAAATTGAGAATATGGATACACTATATTATTGAACATATACAAGATATCATTAAATTTTATATGTGTTAATTGTAATATCTTAATTTAAGATTATTTATTAATGCAATGGTAATATAAGTTAAATATTTATTGTGTATTATGAAAAACAGAAGAAAATATGTTAATGATATTCAAGAATTTCATTAATACAAATATTTTGTAAAAAAAGTATAGGTTAAAATATAGTGATTATTTATAATCAAGTTATTCAAATATAGTAAAAGAGAGTGGGCAAGTGTATTGATATATACATATTTTATAATGATTTAGATACTATTATTACTATACGTACATTTCAATTTTTGTACTTTTTATTTATTGTTTGCTATAAATAGTATATATACTTAAGTTGTTTTACTTTCACGACTAAATCTTGAGAAAGTCCTATAATTTATTTGAACCCGAGTGCTTTGTTCATATAATAGTGACATTCACACTTTTCACTTAAAACTATGTGAAAATCAAAACTAAATTAACGAAATATAATAATTTATACCAACAGTAAAGAACAAAAAAAGTGATTACATAAAATTTATTTATAAAGTTCGGTAAAACTGTGAAAAATTAAAAATGAAATATCTACATATCCATACTGTATTTCATAAAATTGTACAAGAATTAATTTTACTTGTTTTTTTGATGATATTTCAGACCATTAAATTTGATTCGTATTTTTCTTGCATACGTATAAATGGGACAACGAATATAGATGAGTGTGTGCACAAGATGCATAAGTAAATGTCGACAAGAAAATAATGTGCGATAATTCAAGGTAATTGTAATAAAATCATAAATAGTAATGACAACATATTTATAATATATTGTAAATGAAACAATTATTCGATAACTTTTATGAAAAAAATATTGTTGTGTGCACAAATGTAAACAATAGAGTTAAATAGAGACATATGTACAATTATAATCTCATAAACACTATACGAATGAAGAAGTTTAATATTATTCAAAGAATTGTTTTCTATTACTAAAATTAAATATAGTTACATAAAAGAGATAAAAAATGAAACATAAAATAAAATCAGTAATTAAAGTAAATGTTGTTGAATTACATTAAAGTGAAATAGTTGCATCGATACCACCAAAGAAATGAAAATAAAAATGAAAATTATATTATGTTTTATGTCGACAATCAATCAGTCAACAATCATTTCAGAATTTCTGAAGCAGATATTTTTATTTGTGACGACAGTTTTTAGGCGTACTTTAGAAATTTTTGTTTTTAAATCTGAACGTTTACTTGACGAAATTTGAACTATATTTTGAGTTTTTTTAAAAACAAAGTATGTGAAAGTATTGGTGTTACACGTTGTTAAAGAAAGTCATTTTCAATGATCATGTTTTGATGGTTGACTTGATTTTGGCTGCTGTAGTGAATGGAAACAAAAAAACAAAGTGTGATTATCTTTTGTATGAGTATGATTATAGCCCCTACTAAAAGGATTAAAATATCTAATTATTTTAAGAAATGGCGACAGTTTAAAGTACAAGTTGTGATCTTTTAGCCTTTTTTTATTGCTTTTAGCATAATAAAAAATTAAGATTTTTTAAAGATTGAAAATACCCCCTTAAAGTCGGTTTTCACACAATTGTGTTAAAATTAATCTACATTACACTCAGTTATATAAACATTCAATATGTGTAGTAAGAATGAAAGAAAGTGAGTAATAAAGGAAGAATATTTTCATTTCTCGGTATGTTGTATGAATACACTAGTTGCGCCTATTCCGTATTTAGAAGCTACTTGTTGAGTACAGATATTTGCTTGGGAAATACTTCTAAATTCGGCAATCTTGAAGAAACAAATGTGAGTAAAAATTAAACTACATTTTCATCATACAAAAAGCATAATAAATTACTCGGTAATTCATAGAATATTATACATACAGTATTGTTCATACGTATAATTTGATGGATACAGTATTTGTTTCAAAATATTTACTAACTTATTGGGAGTAACAAGTTAGCATTATATCTGTAATAAAATTTGAAACCAAAATGGAATCATATACTATTTGTTCCAACTTTTTCCGTAAAGCTAACCGTGATTGGTAGCTACGTTAATGATGCGTGCCAAAATATCAATAAATTTGTTACTGCGATGGTTGCTCACGAAAGCATTTACATAATTCACGCTATATACGTAATATACACAATAAACCTCGCTGAATACGCGACTGGTTTGTAATAAACTCGGAATAATTCGAGGCGGTAGTTACAGACACGAATTATGCGCACGATTGATCGTAATGGGGCACACTCATTTGTACATTAAATGAGCAGTAATTGGGCCGCAAATTTAAGCGTTTGACAATCGTAATAGTGATACCCGTTTTTTGGAACTACCAGTGGCAGGACAGTACTGGAATTCACTTTCATTAATGAAATTTCTAATTTGCTACCGCGATAAAATCTACACTTTTGTACGAAACGTTTATTTAAACTGTTATAAAATGTTGGTATGCCTGATACTCTGAGAGATAATTGGTAGATTTGTCGATAATTTTATTATAATACTTCGGTAACGAATAAAATAATAATGACAATATAGAAATTTTAATTTAAGTAATACTTATCTAAACAAATGCTTTTTATATCCGGGACAAAAGATACTATTATAATGATTTATTTTTTATGAAAATAACATTAAATTGTGTGAATTCAAAGTAATTGGTATTACTTAATATATTTCACATTTATTTACAACGTATAGCTTTTAAAAATAATACAGAATATAAAAAATAATGTATCTATGGCGTTAAAGTAAATAATAAATTGTGTGATTTGTTTATTAAAGTTAAAAAATTGATCGATTCTATCTTAAAATTGAATATAAAATAAATATCTATCAAGTGATGTACCGAGCAGGATTAGTGTCAAACTGTTTTATGTATAATTAAAAGTAAAACAAATGATCATATGGGAAACGATAAAATTAGTATTATTTACACTCCTTTTAGTTTACTGACCGTTACCATTAATGAATCCTCTTTATCAATCCTCTTTATTTTTATATAATACTGCGTTCTTACTACAAGTATTATTTAATTTTATACCAATATAACAGATATGCAATAGAACAATACAGTAACAAATTATCTATGTTTGAGCAAATAGTTTTCTAACTGAATTCATCATAGTTCTTTTTAAGTATCGTATATGCCTGTAATGTAAAGGTTGATCATTATGACCTAGATATGCTGTGACATGGAATATGATACGTAGGATTTATCTACCTTGCAAGGGCAGCTTGCATCACTAAGTAGACGCACTGCGTGTCAAAATACGATACCGCATGACATATAATTTGTGGATTTGGTAACAAGGTGATAACAAAATAAAATTGTCCTATGAAAATCGACACTGTTAATCCATAGAAGTATGCTATTTCTGTAGCGATTGTACGAAAAAACTTTAATCTTGAACTCCTATTTTTACGTATATACAACAAATTAAATTAATGTCACGTTTACATACAATTTTGTAGTTTCTCAATACTAAAATAATTGCAGAACCAAGCTTTTATGTACTTTGCAATTGTAAAATTAAAGAAGTATTTATAATTGAGTTATTCTTAATATCTATAGCTATACATTAATTGTTTTAATTAGTAGATAAGTATGATGTGGTTTTAATACTTGTTTATTATGCATAAGTTCACATAATGTGAATTCAAAAAATATGATTTTTATATAAATGATGTAAAATTAAATTATTTGTAAAATGTTCATGATATAACATATTTTGCGAAATGTTATAATGTATATAATTTGTAGTACAAATTTTTACCAATTTATTAATATATTCAACTTTGGTGCATTTCGGTCAGGACATTACACTGGTGTTCTCCTCACGATTGATGGAAGTCTTTGATTATATTGAAACGTAACCTCAGCTATTTGTAAAGAAATGTGTGAAAGGTATTTTCTTACATTATTTTTTTACATTCATAATTAAAAGTTTATGAAGCATGATTTTCCCAATATGATTATCGAGGTTTTTACTGATCTTGAGTTTAAAATAAATTTGAATGAAATTTTATGACAACAATGACTGATGATAAAGCTTGTCAAATTTTGTGTTTGTAAATGTAAGAGGAAATTTTTATTAGAATAATAATCTGTCAATGATATCAACATTTATCTTATTATATTTCGTTGAAGCATATTATGGATTAAAAAAATTATATTGAAAATTGCATAAAAACTTCTAACATAAATATATTTTCTTGTTTACAAGTTTGAGCTTCCGGTTGGTATTAAATAAAGCAAAAAGTTTCTTGAGTTACCTTTTATCTTCTTTACTATGTGACGTAAGTAAGATACTAATTAAAGAAAAATGAAAAAATATTCTTTAGGAAGTTGTAAATAACTTTTGCTCTTTTATTAGGTGTTTTCTTAAGTTAAAAGTTAGTAGGATAAAGAAAAGTTTATGGTTTAAAAGCTATCCATTACTTTTATTATGTCAACTTTGACTGTACTTCTACTATCCGAAAAGAACAGAAAATGAGATACATCGGCAGTAAGTAAGATAAAGTACAAAGACAAGGTAAAATAATATAAAAATTCTGATATTTTCTGTTAAACCTTTATAGAGAAATTTCTCATAAATCATTCACTAAGATTTTTTAATGATAATTACAAAGGTTAAGTACCATTATTACGATAAGATTTAATAAAATTTTACGAATTTCCTTTATTTTATGTTATAAATTTTCATAAATATACTCTTCTATTAACTTCTATAGTATCTACAGCCACCATATCTATTTCTATATAACTCATTCAAAACATAAATATGGAAGAAATATTCTCAAACTTGTAACCCATCATGTATTCTCCATTTCACAATACTGATTTCGTGTGAACGTTACTTGTGATACTTATAACAAAAGATTAACAGGAATAACAACGCTAGTAAAGTAGTTATTATTGTATACGACATTATACAATAAAAGTAAACATGAAGAATAAGCGATATAAGTGATTCTGATAGTGAATCTACATAGATTAGATATTATTCAAATAAAAATTCCTTTTCTACTACAATTTTTCGGTTGAAGAAGATACCTTGACGCTTTTTATAGGAGGGGAGCCCCACCACAGGCCCACAACCTCCTGCACTTCCGGCAACAGAGGAACTGATGGTGGCGAGGCAGGGGGCCCCCCGACCACCGCCCCCACGACGTTCCAAGTCACGGCGTCTGCACCCACCTCCACCCCCACCGCCACCGCCACCCCCGGCGGACAACACCACGGCGGCCCCAGGGGTACGTTAACGCGCCCCTTCCCGCGCGGAGCTCCTTTCCTTCAAGGAGGGCCCCGCAGACGCCTAATACCGCAGTCGCAGTCTTCTTCCGAGTGTCCTGTAAATCAGGGATTGAAAAGGTTCCGAAAATGTACAGGGTGTCCTATAACTGGTGGTACAACCGATAATTATTTGCAACCCTGATTCCTCATCGATTTGGATGACCTCGAAATATGTCGTGAGAGATTTAATTTTGAACAACCTTTTCTTACACATGTTACCGCCATGTTTCTCAGATAATCGCAAAAATTAGTCGTCAAATGAGCAACTTTTGTGAATATTTACAAAAAGAGTAAACGTTATTTACTCTTGTATGACCTTGAGTTTGAAACGTATTGTTAAGATTATTATTCTGTACACTCAGAAATTTAAACTTTTTAGCAGTGATTATTGGTTCAAAAGTTATGAAGCATAAATGTTTCGCATTACGCTAGAAATGTTCGTCTTCATTTTTATTTATTGGAGTTGTTCCTTATAATATGTGTGCTCGAACTTCATTTAGATAATGGAAATTGGTATTAGTGGGGCTAAAATTCATCTAAGGGGAGGGAGCGGCGAAACTTGCAGCCCCAACACGGAAAATCTAGCCCCACTAATACCAACCACTATTATTTAAATGAAGTTCGAGTACACATATTATATGGAACAACTCCAAAGCCATTCAAACCGGTGAGGAAACATTATTGTCAATAATTATCGTATAACCGAATTGGGGCTGATTCTATATAAAAAAATAAGTTGAAAATATGCAGTAAAATTTATTTATATGAGAGTTTGTTTTCGAGAAAATCGACTTTGAATATTCGCCGAGTACGCGTGCACTTGACCATGTCTCGTTATTGGATCTCATTGTAGATCATTGTCTTGATTGAAGTTTATGTTGATAAAGACCATCAATGTTACGAAAATGGTTTAGACAACGCTATTATTAGATACAAATATTAGATAATAAGGCGAATCAGCACGAAAATAAGAAAAACGACGTTTAAGGTAATCCGTATGTGACTATTTTCTGGAGAGACAAAATCCATTATCGGTTTTCACTGTGATCAAGCCTCACGTAGAAGTTTGGACTTGGCGTAGAAAAAGTGGAGTTTCTTAAGTTTATTACGTACTCACCCTTAATCGCGTAATATCACGCTATTTACTCTCTCCAAAGATAAAGTATTTTAATAATTTCTCAGGGCACCGTGATTGCCGATTAAATATCCGCAACCCACGGACGTTTTAGTGGCTTAAACGCATATATAACAAGTGAAACGGAAATTCGCGGACTTTTACACTGCTGGTTTAACACAGCCGCTTCTTTTTTTTACAATTTAAAGCGATGTGGTGGGATCCTCAGAATTATCATAATGGTTATATCCGAATGTTATGGTTGGTTAGTGCGTCTTCGGGTGGACTGCGTTTTATTAGTATCTGAAACAAGCCAAGGGGAAATATGGATATTAGTTTTGTGTGGGTTCAAAATTGCGGTTAATGAAAATGTTGCACGATATAATATTATACGATAATAAAATGAGTTACTAGCAGAAATTAAACTCTTCGTATTAATAGAATTTTCAAAATGAAATTTAAGTTAATGTATTATGGGGACTATGAAATTTGTAACTATTATAATTCAGAGAGCGATATTTGTATTTCGATAGTAATAGAATATTATTTACTTCTCATTTTTTTAATTTTTCACATAATTAACTTATGAAAGCTACATATTTCTCTTTATTTTGATTAGTCAAGCAATGGATTGAACTTCAGTTTCCACATCGACAGTCTTTGAAATGCTTCGTCATACTAGTTGAATGTTTTATATAATATTGTCAAAGAAAATAAAGGGTTATTTATCCATTACATGTGGATTTCTATATAAATAAATAATTCTTTAAAGTAATTTATTGAATTTGTTGTTAAATAAAAATTTATTTCTGTACGATCAGATTTTTTGTCGTGATATGGATTATTATAGAGACTACGTTAAATTTCGGTGAAAATGTTTTTTTATTTTATTTTTTCCAATTTGATTGTTTTATACGGTTCACAATTGCCATAAATGCATAAAATTTTCATCAAATTGTTGCAATACATTGCTAGTCGCACTGGATGTCAAAATGATCATTTAACGGTCTGTTCGAAAAACTACTAATGGCTTGAAACACAAGAGTATCATGTACCGGCGACGATTTATGTGACACTTATCGTGTTGAGCATGACAGACTGTATGGATTACACTACTGTATGAATAATTTATTCTCATTTATACAGTATGCATATAAAAATAACATTTCCATTAAAAAAGTATTTGACACATAAATTGCAAATTTTTATCGATTAAATGTATCCTAAACAGGAAAGTCTTCAGACATTTACAGTGTAAAGTCTAAAAAGGATAATTTATAACTAAGTAAAATTTGTATGCAAAAAATAAAATGAATGATACAGAAAATTATAGTCTACAAATAATTAATTAAATAAACGTATTTACGGAAAACTCCACATGTTAAACCGTTCTTTTATTTTATAAGCAAATTATAATAAGAAATGGTCTAATAAAATTGAGTAATATTTATTTTTAATGTTATTTGTTTCAGGTAATGTTTGAAACTACATGTTTATAAATTCACCACTTCTCATATGTAGGTAAGGTATGAAATATGTGTACAGAAATTCAGATATTAGAACGAGTAGTATAAATATACATTGTGCTCTATTAGCTTTATCAGAATAAAATAGAGAAGTGTAAGTTTATCTAATTCAGCACTTTTTTGTAATATTAAATTATATTAGATTTTTACATATGAAAATTATAAACATACTCATATATCTACGCCGTCCCTACTTTACCTCTATGTATCACATTTTTTATGTGTATTATTACTTGATGTGTTAAATTTTGTTAGGACGGAATATTATTAATTATCGAATAACATTAATCAATCTCCATATCCTACGAAATTAATTTTTTTACAAAAGATCAAAAATGATGAAGTAAACTGATATATGGACATTATTTAAAAAGTTATCATGTATGAATTTTGTATAGAAAATAAAATAGATTGCATTTGATTTAAATGCACAAATATTGATAGAAAGAAATTGTGATAGTATAAAATGAAGTAAAATGTAAGCGAATTACAATAAAAGCAAACTGTTTATTGCGTTGTCAAATCCATTACAGAACGTAGCTTTGGGACCTGTGAAAGGATTTATTGACAGCAATGGCAATCGAGGGAATTTCCACAATGTTACGCATTAATTGCCACTAGGTACTGCGTCACTAACAGAATTGTATGTATATAGTAATAGAGATGTTTTAAAACTATAAATATTTTGCTAATAAACCTTTCCGATCTTTTTGTAAATAAAACTTAGCTTAGTCAGCAGAATGAAATGAAAAAATGATAAAATTTTGTGGATTTATAATGATAATAGATAGTGTTACATAAATTGTTTGACTAAAATTGTAAATGAATTTCATTTGCTAAAATTAGAAAACTTGGTAAACTTTATTTCTTTGAATTTGAATGAACTTAAATAATAGATGTATATTTAGAGTTAATGTCTTGTAGTATCATGAATACAAGCTGAATAATTATAATGAGTTTCATAAAACAAATTTATTATATAGGCTTATTATACGTCATTATAAATTGTGACAATGTAACAAGGAAGACGAATAAAAAAATATAAGGACTGTGAGTATAAATCATTACCTAAATGATAATAATCTAAGATGTCTAACGAAAAACGAGTATAATTAAATGTTAATGTTTAAATTTCCAATTTTTATATTGTTCCTTATATATTCCATACAAATTTAATATTAATTTTTAGGCTTAACTTTATTCATTGTTTTTACTCTGTTAATACATTATCATAAAACATATATTTTGTAAATGTATTGTCTTTGCATTTCTTTAAGGTGTATACTGTATTAGTAATACAAATATTGACATTTTTGTTAACACTAGGTTGATGGACATTTATTTTACAGTTTATTCTATTATTTCCATAAAAATGGATGTTCATTTATTTAAATCTTGTGAATTAGATGTTTGAAGATAGACAACTACAATACATATTCGTGTAACTGCACCAATAAAAATCGACGTAAATAATATTCATAAAATTCAATACGCGTCATATTGAAGCGTTCCGTAAACCTACATAGTGTTAACGTAAAAATGAAATGTAATATATTTTCGTCAGCCAGTGTATGATGAGGTACAATATTTCCTATATGGTATAATAAAAGATGCGTTTCTCAAAGAGCACAAAACGTTTCACCTTTCCTATAAAAGATTTGCTTTATTATGTCTCCTTTTGCAGCACATCGTCATTTGCCGGAAGTACCATTTCACCCCTCACCAAAATTCAACGGTTGTTGAGTCAGCCATATGCGACTGACAGTCTACCATATGACGCAGAAATAATCTTTCTGCTAACATGAAGACATTTATTGCAAGGTTTTACAAACTATAATTTATATTACAGGTAAGTTCCGCTATTACAGTGTTTTAGAAGTACGTTAATAAAGTTTATTAAATCTGTTTGAAAACTTATATAGTTTTAACTATTGGTATTGTTCAAAGATGTATTTTATTTAACCAATAAATGATTATTCGTTTATAGCGTTAATATTTAACATATTAATTCAATAAACAATAGTATAATAACCATAATAAAATGTTAATAAACGTTGGATTGAAACTCGCAATGAAATTAAATTACATTATTCTGAAGTTTATGCTGATGGATTTAAACTTTTTTGATAATAAGGGCTAGAACGAAGTAATTACAAAATAAATCTGTAACAATTAAACATTTGTATAATGTATGTCTGTCTCATAAATTAGATGTGAATTTAAATATTAATTTTTAGAATTATTAATCCTTATATAGATTATTTACAATTAGTTTTAGAATCCGTATCGTGAAAATGTATATAATTTTTTTGTAATTAA